AGGCATTGTGGATTTCTAAGAAGGCAGAATGAACATTGTCAGACTCTTGTATTTATATTAAAAATTTTGAATATATTTTGAAGTATTTGCAACTTCAACTGTGCCTTAAGAGTTAATTTAATCATGTTCATCTACGTGCTGCAGTACGGAACTATCGCAATCTAACTTCCGTGTTCCCTTATATAGAACTGATCGACCAAATAATTCCCTATCCTGCTTATTGGAGGTTTCATAAAAATGTCGCGCAATATTTCTTCCGAACATCAACCTTGATATAATACCGGTATTTCTATGCTGCACTCTATGTAAGATCAATATGCACCTTCGTTATTCACTTGTCAGTTTGGATCTGACTTCATTGCGCTATTTGCCAAACACGGTCAATAGAATTGATTTCAGCAGTGTCTGGGATTGACATCCATTGAGAAAAAGCAACAGTTGATTTCATATTGCTTCTTTAGGATTTCCACGACGCAAACATCTTCAGCAGCAGAATCAATGAACTTCCCTCAAGCATATTCACTGAAATTGTTCTGGTCGTTTATGGTTGTACAGTGCTCACAACATTCACGTCGCCTCAGATACTTATGCAGGCCATTTCTGCATACAAAAATAAGGACAGAGGCCAAAGTTCGAACAGGCCTTTGAGAACAAGGCTGGGGAAATAATAATGGACATAAGGAAATGGCAGAAGAGTTGAATAGATAAACTGCACCAGTCTTCTTAGTAGAAGACATTAATAGCTCTCCAAATACAAAATAAGGAGTCAAACTTTTAAGATAAAAGTGAACTGAATTTCTTCTGTCAGAAGGGAATGAATCTGTAGAATCCCTTACTGCAGAGGGTTGTAGAAGTTGGATCCTTATGATAAACAGATTTTTGCTTTGTTAGGAAGTCAAGGGTTTTGTGAGAACGGCAGTAAAGTGGAATTGAGGATTATCAGATCAACCATGACCTAATTGAATGGTGGAGCAGCCATGTTGGGCTGAGTGACCTGCTTCTGCTTTATCCTATGGAGATAGAGGGAAGTCTTGTTGCAAATACACTGATGAAACGAGAGAGAAAGTTGCAGACACAGAGAAAAGGAAAACTACTGAACATTGGAAACAGAGGAATTCGAGATTTAAAAAAAAACACACGTTGAGAATTCCCGTTATAGAATAGTAACTATAAGTAGTGAGATGGCAGTAAGATGGCAAGATTGGAATGGTGCCCAGGGAGAGATTTGTGAATTGACATAAATGCTAATATAGAGAGATGAGAGTTCAAACGTGTAATAATCTCAAGTTGGTTCTTTGTCTGACTGCCACAAACAGAAATTGAAAGTTATACCTTTCATGATTCGCTTGGTTCGTCATTGGGAACAGCAGCAAGTCATTTTTGGCAATGCAGATATTGCTTCACTAAATACCTACTCCTTCTGTCCCCTCGTTTCTTTCACCAATATTTTGAAATCTGCGAAATATCTATGTTCGAAGAGATTAGATTAGGAACTGGAGAATGGTATTAGATTGTGTTTGCTGTGTAAGTGTTTATAGTCCTATTCGATTTGAAGCTATGGACTATGCGAAGGTGCACAGTCGATTTTGAAGACTTTGAATTCCTACTATATGCCGTTATATTCACGTCGTTTTACTACTTTAGTGGTACGGGAAATATCCAAGGATGGTGATGGAGGAGCTTGACCTTTGATTCATTGTATTAGTCTCAAGATATGCCTATGTACATTTTTTGCTGCTCCAATGTGTGAGACAGCTGCCCTAACTTTAATGCCAGATTCCTGAAAGTGGAGAAAATACATTATCTGTGTCCATTTGCGTTTTTATTGTCTCATAATTGTTTCCATGGTGACTTATTTTAGTCTGTTTGACCTGATTGACAGAAAAGGTTGTTTTTCATGGTCACTTCAGAGAACAGTTAAGAACCAATCTATCATACAGATTTGTTTAATGTTTGCATTAGATATTAACCAGATCAGGTAAGAAAAATAAAAGCTTTTCTATCAGTAATTCCTTTAAGTGCATGCAACACTTCAGAGGTAAAGATAAAAGCAGTCCCACTAACTTGTATCTCCAACGACTTTAAACAATGTATAAGGTGATGTCACCTAACTTGTTTTGTTCAGCGACTGTCAGTAACGTTAATGATGTCTCTTGGTATGTAGCATCAACTACAATAAATAACACTCCTGATGGTCGAGTGAGTACTTGTCGCACTTCGAATAGACATTGTCATTTCTCATTCAGAAATGCATGCTCCACCAAGAGGCTTGGTATATGCAATTTACTACACGGCCCTTGCAGCAATCGCTGTTCCAGGTAAAGTGTTGCAGCAAATCAGTCATTTTATGATTGAACGTCAGTTTTTATTTCAATACTTATGCTCTAGCATTCAGCTCTGATTATGCAACTTGCGGGGAATTATTCACTGGAATGATCCAGAGATTAGAGGATTAATCTATGAGTAAAAGTTCAATAAACATGATTTGAATTATTGGGCTTAGATGACATTGGGTGTCAGTTAGTTTACGGCTGGATGGGAGAACCTGTTGAAAATTAACGTCTGCATTACCGATTGAATCTCTGTACCAGCTGAGGCAGTTCTCTCCTGTGCATCTTTGCCATTCCCAAAGATATATTAATTGCAAAAATCATGGTTAACAACATTCGGACAACAAGGAGGATGCATGAAGAAAGAAATACAATTATTTTGGTGGATATCCCAGAATAAGACTCCATTGCCTTAACATTCGAGTTCACGCATCGAGTCATTATCTCATGACACACATCTTCATAAGAAGTGTTCTCTTTACCTGGTCTGCCACAGTTGTGCAACTGAGGCTGACGTTCAAGTTAAAATATTAAAAATCGCTTGATTCTTTTTTGGTGATAATAGTCGTGGATCTGAGATCTGGGCGGGTGAAATAGAGTTTTCCAGACATCCAGTGTGTAATTCAGCAGTAGAACAGATTCCAAGGATTGGATAGACTGCCCCTGTTCACCTGTAATTATCTTGTTCATTGTCTATCAATAAGCAGTCAACTCCAGGGTTTTGTAAAATTTAACAACTGTCCGTCTCACCAATAGTAACACCACCAGGAAACAATGGAAGTATTAGGAATGTGAATGGAAGATGAAGATGTGCAACCTGGTCTCCAGCATTAAGCACAGCATGTGAAAGTAACAATTCATTACTTAATATACACGATTGTTGGAATAACATGGAGACACATGGGTAACAGTCGTCTATCTATGATTGACATGCAATTGCTAATTTTCCTTCATTGACATTAAATGCATTGGACTTTATGAACAAATTATCGAGAACCTTGGATTCAGAAAGGCTTGGCTTGTTGTAGTTCTGTGATTCAAGTTATTAAATACTCTGCTGTCTTCTTAGATATATCACAAATAAACAATTGCTGATGGAAACATCAACTGTTGAAATTTGAATCTGTTTTTAATGCTTGGAATTATTCACGGCAAATTAAATATCAAAACATTCATTACAGTAGATTAACAGACTGTAATCATTATTTAACCATTTCCTAGAAAAATACATCTCAGGCTCCCAGATGCTCTAGTCTTTTTTTTCTCGTTTCTCTTCGAAAATTTCCACTTATGTTTATCTGCTGAAAATTTCTCACTCTGGAGACTACGTCCTAAAGACTTATTCAAATACTTGCGCAGTTGGGCTTTCCACTTTTAACTCTCCTTTGTCGCTTGCAACCTGAGCCATATATCATGACCTATGTATTCATCCTTTATCTTCAAACATCGTTTTCCTTAATATGATAAACTGAATCAATTTGCTCACGTGTACATTTTAAGCCATAATTCAAAAGATAGGTGGTTTACCTTACCAGTCCTATAAAGGTCTGCATTTGCTTCTGCCTTGGAATGGAGGATTTTCATAGAAGTACGCTCATATTCAGTTTTGAGGAGGTGTTGCCTCATGAAACGAATAGGTCTTACATGAAACGTTTTACATGTTGCAGTTAGACATTAGATGCAAGTTAATGACCACATTGATGAAGATTGTCCAAAATCTTGGATATTCGAACAATATTCTTTTCATGTGTAACTTCGTCAGTTGCAGACCAACTGTGAAATAGTTTCTAGTTTCTCAGACAACATTCACAAAATCTGTTGGCAGCAGCCAATGAACAATGGCTCAATTCTTTCAAAGGTCTGTCGGTGGTTGAACTGTCATAAATGTATCTTAAATGTATTTCATTCGTTGAAATATTACTTTCAGAAGAATGTTCTGATTAGAGTCAGTGGACTCCAAAGTTAACCCTACATTGTTTTTCTTTATTCATTCATGGGATGAGGGTGTCACTGTCTAGGCAGCACTTATTGCCCATCCCTAATTGCCCAGAGGGCAGTTCAGAGTCAACCACATTGCTGTGGGTCTGGAGTAACATGTAGGTCACACCAGGTAAGGATCGCAGTTTCCTTCCCTAAAGGACATTAGTGAACCAGATGGGTTTTTCCCACAATCGACAATGGATTCACGGTCATCATTAGGCTCTTAATTCCAGATATTTATTGAGTCCAAATTCCACCATCTGCAGCGGCGGGATTAGAACCCGGGTCCCCAGAATATTATCTAGATCTCTGGATAAACAGTCCAGCGATAATGCCACTTGGCCATCACCTCCCTTGTCCACATCACTTCACTGTCCACAAATTCAGTCAGACCTGCTGAGGTCCTCCAGTCATTTCCATTTTTGCTTGTTATTAATTTAAACTTATTTAAATTTAAACCCGTTGTTAACTTGATGAATAATTAACCAATGTAAATCCGAATACATTCATTATTCATATTTTTATGCCGTACAAGAATAACAATCGCACTGTTTGATATTTTGGTTAATTTCACCAGAAGCTTGAAGTAAAACAGTCTCTTTCACTTCAAATTTCGCAGCTAGAAACTTTATATATTGCTACTGCTGGAAGTGTATCGTGTGATATTTTTCCTCTCTTGCAGTTAATTTAGTGGCGATTGTAATCCTGTCCCAAGGAAGATGCGGCCTCTCTCGATGTATCACTCAGTACTTGTTGTCCATGGCAGTGATGGATCTCCTGGTCATTATTACTGCAGTGGTAATGAATCGTATTCCTGGCATTTATTCGCCTGGTAGTTTTCTGTTCATTACTCCCGTTTGTAGTCTCAGCATTGCATTGATTCACGCAACCAGAGACAGTTCTGTCTGGTTAACGGTGGCTTTCACCTTTGATCGATTTGTGGCTATTTGTTGCCAGAAGCTGAAATCAAAATATTGCACTGAGAAAAGTGCAGCATTCGTTATAGGATTTCTTTGTGCCCTGGGATGTTTGAAAAGTGTTCCCTGGTACTTTATACATGAACCCATCTATGTAATTGATAATGTACCCTGGTACTGCCGACAGAAGAAAATTCGTTATACTTCAACTGTGTGGACAGTATTTGATTGGTCTGACCGTATTTTAACGCCCTGCCTCTCGTTCCTTCTGATTCTTTTGTTCAATGCTCTGACCGTCAGGCATATTCTAGTGAGCAGTACTGCCCGTAGGCGACTCCGGGCCCAGAATAAGAAAGAAAATCCAAATGACCCAGAAATGGAGAACCGGAGAAAGTCCATTGTTTTACTTTTTGCTATCTCTGGAAGTTTCATCCTTTTGTGGATGGCTTACGTTGCACAGTTCTTTTATGACAGATTTACAAGTAATTACAAAATGAAAGGCTTCAGTGACCCCAAATTTATTCTGCAAGAAAGTGCAAACATGTTGCAGATGCTCAGTTGCTGCACAAACACGTTTATTTATTCAGTGACACAGAGAAAATTCAGGGAGCAGATAAAAAGTGCAGTGAAATATCCCCTGAATCTATTGAGTAAATTAGGTAAATGAAACAAAAAAATCTGCTTGCCTTATCCTATTATCTCCCTGCTTCATTGAAAAATACAAGAATCAATAATCTAACAAATCATGCAGTGGAGCAAGAATCCCAATTTTCTGACACATGAACTGACACAGTGAGAAAATCATCCTAACTTGCTGATACTTGACTTCCTGCATAAGGTACTGTTGTGCTCATAGGTGAGTTTCCTGCAAAGTTGCATCAATTTACTGACTGGCGACGTGCCTGAGCAGAATAAAACAAACATGGAAATTTACTATGTCTTGATAGAAACCTTTGTGTTTGCTGATAATTAAACATAAATTTCCGAATTATGTGACAAGATGGTTGTAGCAATGAGGTCTTGACTTTCCGAGTTGCAAATGCGAATGCTGAAAACAACTTGATCTTAACATCTGTGCTTGATTTTCCAAAGTCTTGCGCTGTGATAAAATGATTTCCTTCGTCTGTGAAACAAGCATCGCTATTTTACAGTTGCAAATCAACTGTTATTTGTGTATTAAACCTGGAATGAAACTGATAATTGTTGCATTGATTTAATTCTATGCATCACTTCTGATCACAAAACACCCAATGCTTGGATATGTCTTGGATCATTTAAATGTGTGATGCATCTGACTGGAATTATTTTGGGACTGCTACATTGTAATTATGATAATAATGAAGGCCAGTGTAGAAAATATGTGAAAAACGGATGTGTTTGGGATTGATTGAAACTTGTAGTGTAGGATATAATGATGTTGAACATAACTTCTGTTGAAAAAATGAATCTATGTGCAAAGTACAGGGAAGTTAGTTTTAGATTACCATTGGGGCAAAAATCGTAATTAGATTGTTTGTTAATTTCTGTAGAGTTTTTGAGAGTGAGTATTTTAGCTGGATTTCTTTAAAAATTTAATGATATAATTTTGTCAAGAATATTTCAAGGCCATAGCGAAGTAATGAGGCAGAGGGGTCAATTTTGGATTAAGACAATGAATTGTACAAAAAGGCCATAAAAACACCAGAAGGCAACAGAGAGAAATTAGGGCAGACAATCGATCTAACCTGTTCAGACATTGAGCACAATCACTACTGATCTTAGACTTCATCCGCACATTGCAAGCACTCCTAAAATTGATTGATCGATTGATTTATTTTTGTCATGTGTTTCAACACAGCGAAAATTGTTGTTTTTCGTGCTACTAGGCAAATTGTACCACTTAAAGCACACCAGGATAGCATAAAATAGTTCAGAATACAATGTTACAGACTCAGAATTGGTGCAGAGAGACAGAGAGAGAGAGAGAGATCAGAATTAACATCAGAGAGATCTGTTCAAAAATCTGATAACAGCGGGGAAGAAGCTGTCCTCGAATGTGTTTGTACAGAATAGCATGTAGTTTTATGTATTCTGCCCGATGAAAAAGGGTGGAAGATAGTATAGCCAGGGTGAAAGCATTTTTGATAATGTTGCTGCTTTCCCGATGCAGCAGGTAGTATAGACGGAATCAATGGTTGGAAGGCTTGTTTGCATGATGGACTGGGTTGTGTTCACGATCCTCTTGTGGTCTTGGGAAGAGGAGTTGCCATATCCTGCTTTCATGTATTCAGACAGGACACTTTCTAATCCTTGATTCATACGTCCATACATACACACAGAAGTACAACTTGGAAGTAGACTGTTCAGTGCAACTCGTCCATGCTGACCAGACATCTTAAATTATTCTAGTCCCATTTGACGGCATTTGGCCCATATCCCTCTAAACCCTTCCTATTCATGTACTCATCCAGATGCCTTTTAAACGTTGTAATTGTACCAGCCTCAATCACTTCCTCTGGCAGATGATTCCATATACACACCATTTGTTGCATGAAAAAGTTGTCCCTTAGGCCCCTTGTAAATATCCACCTCTCACCTTAAACCTATGTCCTCTAATTTTTGACCCCAACCTGGGAAAAAGACCTTGGCTAATCATCGTATCCATGCCCATTATGATTTTATAAACTTCAACATGGTCACCGCTCAGCCTCCGACACTTCAGGGAAAATAGCTCCAGCCTATTCAACCTCTCCCTAGAGCTCAAACCTGGCAACATCCTTGTAAATATTTTAAGTTTCTCAACATCCTTCCTATAGCAGGGAGACCAGAACTGAGTGTGGTATTCCAAAAGTGGCCTAATCAATGTCCTGTACAGCCGCAACATGACCTCCCAAGTATTATACTCAATGCACTGAACAATAAAGGCAAGCATGCTGAACGTGGCTTCACTTTCTACGAAATATGAACATGTACTCCAAGATCTCTTTGTTCGGCAACACTCCCCAGGATATTACCATGAAGATTATAAGTCCAGCTCTGCTTTGACTTTCCAAAATGTAGCACCTCACGTTTATCTAAATTAAACTCCTCTCAAGAGATAATAAAATAGCCCATTTGACCATTAAACATAATCAATAGTGGAGAATCTACTGCCTTCAGAGGTAGAAAATAGAGTATTATTAGGCTAAAAATGCCTAATGCGTTCTTTAAGATGTGATCAAAATGTTTACAAGAAGATACATGCTCTTAAATATGAAGTAAATTTATTAACGTAATCCACTTATTATATACCATACACATATGCAAAGTAATGAGTGAGTCTGTTAGCTTAATGTACATACGAGTATTGCACTATTTTCTCCTTGTCAGGAGCCTTCACAATGGTGACGCTGGAGTTCTATCTCAGATTTCATGCCATCGATCGTGCGAACCCCAGCCTAGTGGTTAAAAGTAAAATGAGTAGGGCAAAGCCCTTGATATAGCCCCCAAAGTCCTTTGAAGCTGAGTACATGTGTTAAATCCCTATGTCGTAATAATGTCAATACTTTTCGAGTCCTCAAAAATCGGTGAAAAACAAATCCAGCTGGGCCAACATAAACCACACAATCAGATAGTTCCCACTGAGCCTTAAAGTCAAGCTATTTTTGCATCAGGCCTGTTTTACATGTACCTTTCTGCTCCAATTCAATTGCTCATTGTCATGTCCGGCTAGCCCTTAATGATTAACTCTTAACGGTCTGGTTAGAAGATATCATTTTTGAGATGAACGTGACACACCACCTCTTGATATCTTCAAAACAGATGATCAAAAATTCATATAAGCAAGCACGTATCATTCAAAAGCTCCAAGTTGGTTATACATGCGATACAGTTTGCAGACCATCTCACAAATACATAAGACAAGAAACAACTATCAATAATACTACAGCTAGATGCCATAACCGTGATAGTACAACTGAATCTTTAGGTGATTACTCCTTCAATATGCCCAACCAATGATCCACAGTAAGGCTTCATAAATTGTTCACTGCGCCAATCAATTGATCATGGCTGCAGTCTTGGCAGTTTATTGCCGTAAGAAGTAATGGAGTACTGCTACCAAATGAGATGCTATGCAGGAACAGGCCCAATTTCTTAAAGAACACATGCAGAGCAATCCTATTCAATCGATTGATGTTGTGATGCATCATTGTTGTCTTTAGTTATGTAGAGTTCATGTCCAATTGCGTCTTCGATAGCATAAATTTTATCCCCACACAAGCGAAAATGATTCCTCTCTCTTATTATTATGATAGATCACACGAATGCTGACAACACACACATGGTGAGGGCCAATTTCGTGAATGACGGTTTCACTGAGTGGCACCTTCCTCCATACGCAAGTGTCCCTTTAACGCTGCAATGTAAATGGTTCATAGGTAGAGGTGTGGATGTGGCATACTAGGCCTCTGTCCATTGTTCCTGATGGAGTTGATTGTTATCATTGAACTATTTTCCATAAAACACAGGTAACAAATAGCAAAGAAGTGGTTAGTTCATGCCGCTTTAACAAGTTAGATTGTGTTCGACTACATTTGGCACTAAAACCCTGTGGGTGTGATACGTTCCCCAGACAGCATATCAACAAACTTCTAAACCATGTTGGTCAGAACAAATTTGCTAAATCTATATGCGATAGTGTTTTGGCCTATGCAGCAGATAATGTAATAGCTTTCTTAGTTAGTTATCCAATTGTAGCGATCTTATTTTATACGATCTCAATATCCATGGAATTTGTCACACCTAATCCTACTTTTAATAAGGTAACAAACATTTCATTTCATGTTACATTTGCTTACACTTCCCACTGTTTTCCAGGGTCCCCTTACTCCATTGCCCTGCGACACCTGAGCCTTGGCTCGGCCTTCTTTCACAAGCACTGACTGTCCTAACACGTTATAGTTTCACCTACTGGTTTGAGCATTGGAGTACATATACTATGCTTTGCTGAATATAAGATAACTGTATGTCATCTGATGGGCTCTTCCACTCAGCTCACCATAAGGCCCCCCCCCCACAGAGTCCACATCCCTTCAGCTCTGTAACATTTTGACATTATAGCCAATCACCCTTTTATTTTAAACTTTACTTCCTTTTCACTAATACCACTTCATTGTTTTAAAGTCAGTTTCTCTATGGATTATGCGTTATTTCCCTATCTTTTCAACTTTTTCTTTGCTCTTCCAGGACGCAATGACCATTTTGTCAAGTACGTGTAAATGTCTGAACCCAATCTTCAGTGCATTTTCGCCAAATGAGGTATTGAATTTTGGTACAAAAACAAGGGACAATACTTATAATGATAGGGCCTTGGTAGTATTGTAGAACAGATGGACCTACGGGCTTCATTGATTTCTCTAAGGTTTTGGAGTAGATTTGTAGCTCGTGTTGTGGGTGTTGAGGTTGGTTGGCTCGCCGAGTTGGTTTGTTGTTCCACAGAGGTTTCGTTACCATGCTGGGTAACATCATCAGTGCACTGAAGTTCAGAAATTTTTCTGAAGAAGGATCTACGCCCGAAACGTCAGCTTTTCTGCTCCCCTGATGCTGCTTGGCCTGCTGTGCTCATCCAGCTCTACACCTTGTTATCTAAGGTTAATGGTAGTTGTCTTTTCCCCAGGATCAGGGATTTCAAGGCTAGGGGGCATATTCTTAAATTGGGAGGAGAGAGATTAAAAAGAAAAGACATGGGGATATTTTCTTTATATTCAGAGTGGTTTATGTATGGAATGAACTTCCTGAGGAAGTTGTGAATGCTCGCACAGTTACAACGTTTAAAAGACACTTAGATAAGTAAAGGACCACGAAAGGTTTGGAGGGATATGGGCCAGGATCAGGCAGCTGGGACTAATTTAATTTGGGATTATGTTCAGCATCGACTGGTTAGACGGAAGGATCTGTTTCTGAGCTGTATGAGTCTATGAATTAATTCACGTCTGTTATTTCATGTGTAACAATTACTTTTGCACATGTACGTCGGTATTCCAAGGTCATGACACGTATTCTTGAATTTTGGTCAGTCTTTTGAAAGATCAAAAGTCGGTGGAGAGTGCCTGTGTATCCTTCACGTCTGGTCCAGTGTTCTGGGCGGTGGCTAAATCAGCAAAATCAGTTCCTTTAAAAAAAAAACTCGCAGGCAAGAGCACACAAATCTCCAACGGAAAACTGCTAATTATCTAATTCAATCTACACTTTGATTTCATTGCATATATTCTATTTAACTACACCTAAGAAGGTCCGTCTCATTTCCATCTTATTCATTTTTTTCCTGTCACTATTCTTTTATTCTAAGTGTGTCCCCCCCCGTTAATTACCATAATAACTGATTCACGAACTTTAGAGTAAACTTTATTGTCCCGAGTAAGCAACAAGTGAAGCATATTTTTGCAACAGCTTTAAAATAGACAAAGAAACATTATTACTGCGTGGTTTGAAGCACGATTAAATTTTGGTGCTTTTGACTTCCTTACAAAAACGTGCACACAATTTTCTCAAATATAACTCGCCAGATCATACTTGAATTTACTTCTTCCAAAATATTCAAAATTGACAACAACAAACTCAATGGTTTCTTTTGTGTACAACCTCAGTGGTATTGTTGTGCTGACAGGTTTCATTATTAGTCATATAATTTATTCTCAAACAATCCTTCCTTTGTTTTTTTGCAAAGTAAAACCACTTAGGTTGTTTCCATTGACTCTTGTTTAAAAATGAAATTTAAAGATTTGAATTTATTTACCCTTTCAAGTTCGATTGAATTTCCCATTTCATGTTTGAACGAGCAATCTGTATTAAGTAATTTTATCAATCTCAATTTCAGAGACAATTTTGTCCACTGCTTTTAGACAGTGGTCTTACTTAGGGGATTCCAGTGATTGTAGTCAATTGAGGGTTTCCTGTTTCCAAAGGCTTTGTCTTTATAGTACTTCCAGGTCCCTCGCTGTGCTCTTGAAACCTGTTTAAAACCAAGAAAAATTGGAATATACTGCTACTCTGGAAGTAGACCAACGGGTTAATAATTTCTTACACAACGCATCTCACGATGCTTAGCTCCTGACACCAGTACAACCTTCGTTCAATTACAAACAATAGAGGTGAATTCCGGAGGTGAGGTGGGATTGATAGCCTTCATATGAATATCGCATTTGATTGAAGGTAGAATCAAGGAGCCCTCGCAAAATTGGAGTCAATGGGAATCAGGAGAAAACCTGTCCACTGTTTGAAGTCATACCTGGTAGAAATGTAAACGATTATAGCTGTTGGAGTTCAGATGTCTGATCTCTGGGACATCTCTGCAGGAATTTTTCAGCTTAGTGTTTTTCGTCCAAACATTTTCAACTTCTTTGTCAATGATCCCAAAGTCAGAAGTAGGAATGTTCGCTGATAACTACACAATATTCTGCACTATTGCCACAGAAACTAAACTGTAGCACATCCCAGAAAATGCTGGGGTTCCGTCTGAAAATTGGCAAATGACGTTTGCACCTCACGATGTCAGGAAATGTCCATCTTCAACAACAAAACATCTAGCCATTTCCACTTGGTCTAATTGTATTGTGATCACTGACTCCTCCATTTACAACATCCGAAGGATGATCATTAAACAGAAACTGAACTGGACCAGCCATATAAGCATATGTTTGGAGTAAGGTTGCAGTGAGCTGCCAAACCAAACTTCCCCGAAGAAAACAAACTGAAAGCTGGATAACATGTTATTGTTGATCAAACTGTTGCTGAGATGTTCCTTCAGTTTCTTAATAGCTGATAACAGTCAGCTGAGATATTATTTTTCTGTGTTGCATTTGTCCTGCATTCTATAGACAGAAAATATCTGGGAAAGCATTTGCTTTCCTAGAAAATGATAGGAATTTAATTATATTGGATGAACTGGGAGATGGAGCTGCCATCTTTGGTGTATATATTTTTGATATGACTGCTTGGTCATTGGCGACAGTAGCCTTTGCTGTATTTGCTGACTTCAGTCATTTCTTGATGTGACGCCACTGTCGTACTTTCTGTCTCTCTCATTGACTGAGCAGGTATGGCATCATCTGCACAGAGAAGCGTTTTGAACCCTGCGAACCTTTCTCCGTAAAACAAAGTCAAGAACTTTGGATGCTGGAGATCGGAAACAAAACAGAAATTGCTGGAGAAAAGCAGCGGGCCTGAATACATCTCTGGGAAGAAAGCATAATTACCATTTCAAGTCCGGTGACTTTGCATCACAACTATTCTGAAGAAAGGTCATGGTGAGGAACACTAGACCTGAATCGTTAACCTGCTTTCTCTCCACAGACCTGCCGAATTTCGCAAGAATTTCTCTTTTTTATTTCAACAGTTGCTTGTTCTGTTCAAATTAGTTAAAGGCAAAAAAAGACACTGCATTTACACATTGATTACTTCTGCACTTTACGGTCTTTTTGATAAAGAGAATATTTCTCCACATGCTAGATGATAATTATCAGCGAATCATTCAGTACAAAAGAGGACATTTTGGCCATCAATTCTGCACAGACAAAATCTACACTAAATCTACACCAGTCTCACTTTTCAGCACTTGGCCTAGAGCCTTGACTGTATAACATGTCAAGAATGAATGAGTCATCCAGTGCATGGTTTCCATATCCCTCTAAAGTTTTCCTATTATTGTACCGGTTAAAATGTATTTTAAATGCTATAATTGTACTCGCCTCTACAACTTCCTCAGGCAGGTCGTTCAATACACAATCCACTCTGTGTGAAAAAAAATCCCTTTAGGTCCGTTTTGAATCTTTTCCCTCTCGTCTTAAACCTATGCCCTCTTGTTTTGTACTGTCTTATCCTGGGGAAATGACCTTGGCTATTCTATGCCCCTCATGATTCTATAAACCTCTATTACCCTTCAGCCTTCTATTCTTCAGGAAGAAAATGTTACAGCCTATTCAGATTCTCATTATAATTCAAACGCTTCACTCTTGGTAATATCCTCGTAAATAGCTTTTTGCACCCTTTCCAGTTTAATAACATCCTTCCTATCGCAGAGTGACCAGACTTGCACACAGTACTTTTAATGTGGCCTCACCAATGTGTTGTACAGCTGAAATGACGTCACAACTGGTGTATTCAATGCTATCTAACCGTGGCGCCACTTGCAAGGAACTATGTAACTGCACACCGAGGTCTCCTTGTTCGAACAGTCCTAGGAGCTCTACCATTAACTATATAAATTCTGCCCCGGTTTGCTTTACCAAAATGCAACACCTTGCATTTATCTAAATTAAATTTCGCCTGCCAATCCTCGGCCCATTGGCCCTGTTGAGTAATTTTGCGTCATACACTGAGATAATCTTTTTCACTGTCCACTATACCACCAAGTTTGGTATCATCGTGGACTTATGAACCATGTCTCCTATATTCACATCTAAATTGCTTATATAAATGATGAACAACAGTGGCCTCAGCACAACCCTTGCAGCACATCGCTGGTCAAAACCTCCAGTCTGAACAGCAACCCCCTACCACCACTCATTGTCTTCTGCTGTCAAGGCAATTTTGTATCCAATTGGTTAATGAATCCCAAGTGATCAAAATTCTAAGAGTCTACCATGCAGAACCTAGTCAAAGGCCTTGCTGAAATCCATACAGATAGGGTCTACCGCCCTGCCTTCATCTAACGTTTTGGTCACCTCTTCAAAAACTCAATAAAGTTTGTGACACACAATTTCCCACGCACAAAGCCATGCCTACTATTCCTAATACATCCTTGACTTTCCAAATGCATGCAGCTCCTGGCTCTCAGAAAGCCAACCAAAAACTTATCCACCACTGATGTCAGGCTTGCCGGTCTGTAGTTCCCTAACTTTTCCTTGCGGCCTTTCTTAAACAATGGTACAACATTAACCATTCT